TACATCATATGCGTACATCATAGTATATGCGTACATCATATGCGTACATCATAGTATATGCGTACATGAAATCATAGTATATGCGTACATCATATGCGTACATCATATGCGTACATCATAGTATATGCGTACATCATATGCGTACATCATAGTATATGCGTACATCATATGCGTACATCATAGTATATGCGTACATCATATGCGTACATCATAGTATATGCGTACATCATATGCGTACATCATAGTATATGCTTTTCAAAAGTTTGGAGTAGACAAAGAAAAGGATACAACAGTGAGCGCTGAAATTAATGTGATTGTAAACTAGCGTGAATGTCGGACGGGGGGGGGCGGATACGTTTGCCAATTGGTCAATTAAAAGCAATAAGCTGCGTTAGTAGAACCGGAAATCGATAAAGCCTAATTGTAATCAGTTCTTATCGCTAGAAAGACCAGTATTAGAAGAGTCAGAGGATGACAGTGAAAAATCCAAGATACGTCAACTGCATTTTGATTTGTATGTATATCAGGTAGATCAGGGATCAAAAACAATAAAGAAGCGGGCAATGTGACTGTTGAATATATCCTATAAGATGGACTGCAATATTTGATCACTAATAAAGTTAAGCTGATTGTATCAAAAGGATTACTGAATAAACTATTGTAGCAGTGTCACGAAGAGATGGGTCACGTTGAAATATACAACACTTGTGAATTTATGGTAAGGAAGGTTTATTGGTCAGGCCTGTACGGGGAAGTTACCATCGATATAAACACTTTTGCGACTTTTTAATCAGTAAGTGACAAACTGGAATTTTTCTCATTGATGGAAATGAATATCATTGCATACACATTTGATTTTGATTGAATGATTAGTTTTCTACAGCTTATCAACCTTTGCAGGTTATTTATGCCAGAAAATATTTTAGACAGTAAGAATTTATTTGAGATAATAATAGTTTTAGTGTATTACTAATTAATCCATAGCTGGAAAGAAATGTATTTGGTTCTTCGATTAACAATTCAGAACCTTTATCCTTTACACTACCCTTAAATCCAAACTTACAGCTCTTAGTATTCCCAAAAGGTCACCCAAGTAACAGGTGTTTCAATGTGATGTGGCTGTAAGCCACCATGCCAATTTAAGAAGAGAAAAAAGTTAAAAAATAGATTGCAAGCTCAAATATCTAATATAAAAAAAAACTGTAATCTCATTATCCATTGGAAGAAAAAGCAGGATTTATTTTCTATTACAGTTAATCAAGAGAAATGTGAACTCCATGCTTATTGGGATAAATTTGCAAATCATAAGTTTGTTAAGGGAGGACATGTAATACCATCATTGTTCAGAAATTTCAGAGGCCAACATAATTAATGTCATGTTTAGCTTAGCGAAGGCAAATCACGTTAAGTTTATATTTCACGAATATCATCAGAATATCCAATGATAATTTCGAAAGGTCGAAAATAGTGTTGGAAGAAAGATTTATGTTTATGTTCTACTAGCGTTGCCCAGGTGCCAAATATGTTGAACATACCCAGAAATTTCACTTCTTTACTATGTTACCACCTCCCAGGACGTGGAGCAGAGGTTGGATTTTAGGAGGCAAAAAGATTTGATAGGTTTAGGTTGTTAAGCAGACCAAACCTTTTTCCCGGATGAAGAGTAGAAATTATCAGTTACCAATTTTCATCCTGGATTCACTTTTAAATTGCATATGGGATTACTGCAAAGCCCGTGAATACACAATGTTTGAAGTTTTGTCTCCTAGTGCTAAAATGTAGAGAGATTCTGCCGATGCTATCCTAGAACATCCTAAATAAAACTGCCCATAAGTAAAGCAAGGTGAAGTTAGGTAGAGATCAACAACCGCTAATGATTGTCCTTGCGACTTATTAATAGTCATTCCGAAACACACTCTGAGAATTGAAGCCTTTTAAATTTAATTGTAGAATCTGATGGAAAGTCAGTTCTCTTTTTGCCCTACCAGTTAGTATGACAGCTTCTATGACGTGAAGTTGTATGTTTTTGACACAGATTCTTGTTCCATTGCATAATCTTGGAGCATCAAGATTCCGGAGCAACATAATAAGGCATCCAACTTTGAGGCTTAACTAGTGTGTTGGCATAGCAGACAATTCTAAGGAATTTAAAAATTCAGTAGGGCATAGCACAACCTGTTTATCATCCAAAGTTGAATGCACAGAATAGAAATGTTTTTACTCACCTGGAATTTCATTGAGCAGTTGTTGATTGATAACAAGTCGTTTTTAGATGCTAGAATTAATCTCTCAGCCATTCACGATTCACATAGTTTTCTGCTATATTTGGGTACATCTTGTTCCTCAGTTCTTCAACTGAAGAAACAATTGATGATAATCCTGGAGGAATTACAATGTTATCATGGTCGCTCTTAACAATCTTGCCATCTCCTATTCTCAGTAGTAGAGATTCAAACTCACCAGTCATTGGCTCTCTATTAAGATAGGCTCTCATATTAGCATTTAACATTATGTTCTACCACAAATATGATAATTTAATGCAAGCATTGAGTTCATGAGTGGGGGTTCCACGTGGAACAATTCAAAGTGTTTGTCGAAGTCACCTTTTCCAGTATTCGGGTGGCTTCCACTCGTTAGTTAACTTTGACACCTCTAAAACTATTGATTAGATTTCACAATTCCGTTCACCGTTTACAGATATTCTAAATCGGACGTTGAAATTGAAATCTCAAAAATGTGGCACATAGGAACATCAACAATGCCTGTTGTGATTGAAGCTCTCAGATTGATTGGAAAAGATTCCAGTAGACTAATTGAAGGGATTCCTAGAAGTCCATGCCTTAAAGAAATACAACAAATTGTTCTCACGGGTACAGCCCACACTTTACGAAGGGCTTTATCTATGTAAAATATGTTTGTGTTTTTTTTTTGTTTTTTCTTGTTTTTTTTTTTTTTTGTTGTTTTTTCTAATCAGTCAGTGGAAAATGTCATGATGCCATTTCTAACCTTAGGTCTCTGGACGGGACCCGGAAAGATATGTGCACACACCAGAAATCAAAGAAAATAAAAAATATAATAATAATAAAATATAAATGCCTTAATGCTAAACAAACATGACTTCTGATCTTGATTGAACGGATGTAATAACATGTATGTGTTTAGCTTGGTGAATTAAGATGGGCTACAGTAAACTTCCTGTTCAATGCCACATATTTTCTTATCATTTGTATATCCTTAACCAATTGCACATGTCCTTTAGGAGGTGAAGCACTGTACATCTCTGTTCATGAGCAGGTGAATTGGGGGTTATTATTATGGCCGAATATTGAGCATTTTTCTTTTTAATTTTGAAGAACGAGGAAGTCAAGGCAACTTGGGTGTTACAAGTAGATATTTGGCAACACCCTTAATGGTAGATCATCTGGGTGCACTGGGTTACAAGTATCTGTTATATATTAATGTACAATAAAATGCAGGGTATATCAACATTACTTATTTGGGCGTATTTCACGATATTTGCCGGTTATTTCATGCTACATAGGGTATTTCGTTAAATAACACTATCGACAAAGAAGTACACAAAGCCTATGTCACAGTAAAAATAGGAACATGAAATGTACAAAACTAGGTATCATCAAAATGCGCGCATTTTCGATAATGAAAGCAAAAATACTACCACTGTTTTATAAATACCAAAAATCATGAAATTATCCGAGTTTAATGAAATTTTCAGTACTTATTTATTAGTGAATGAAGTTTAGGTTGAATACACCATTATTTTAGATTTTTTTTGTAGAAATATTTTTGATGGAGCGGGGCAGTTTGAAAAATAGAAAGACGAAAGTTTTAATGCTATTTTCGAGGGTGAATATTTTTAACAAAATATTTTTAAACTTTTGCAACGGTTAGATTATTTTTTGTACGGACGTTCAAAAAAGAAATAATCCAAAAATTCTGTGATTTCAATCAATTAGTATAAATTCAATAATTTTTTATCAATTTTTCCCATTTTTGCACTACAGCATTTCCTTTATTTTAATAAATTTTAGAATCACAATAATTTAAAAAAAAATAATTGGATAAAATTAAATATTCTGGGGAAAAAATCAAAAAAGGAAAATTGAATGTCTTTGGCTAGATGCGAAAGTGTCTTGTCAGTATTCTCATGATCTAGTTGGCCGTATTTTCTTGCTAGATAAAATGTCCGAACTTGGAATTGTTTTCGCCGATTCTTTCTCCTGTTGTTCTGTGACGTCGCCCCTCCTTGGTCGCAGCGTCGACTCTGTCGTTCGATCTCGTTCGCGGCTCCAACTGTGACGCGACGTGAGGGTATGATATCCCAGGGTCGATCCTTGTCACGGACAGCACCAGTTGTGACGTTTTTTGCCGCGGCGTCAGTTGTTCGCTCCTCGCTGCTCCAAGTGTGACGTTCCAACCCTCTGGTTAGATGATTACCAGCCTCGCCGTTCCCAACTCGCTTCCAACACCTGGTTACTAGGGTAACTGTACTGATCTCCGGTCTGCCTACCCACGTTGTGATTAGATCTTAGACAGACGGGATCAAACAGGGATTGGGGCCGTATGCCAGCTGGGTTCAACGGGGTGGCAAACACAAGATAAAAAAGTAAAAAAAAAACTCACGAGGCCAAAAATTACTGATAAAAAAGGGTAACAACCTTTTATATCTAATGTTCGTTACATAAAATTATTCTTACTTCCCGACCCGTTTTGTGGACTGTGGCACCAAGCTTCTATCATACAATTTAAAGACTTCGAGTTGCCTACTCTCTAGAATTTTGCATGTCGGGGTGTGGTTTGGTTTCGACACTGGGCGCTAATCTCTACCAGTCGTTCACGGCTGATTCTTCTCTTCGGCTTGAGTTGGACGAATAGCTTATTCACTTCGGCTTGAGTTGGACGAATTATTTCTTCACTTCGATTTGGGTTGGACGAATTTTTTCTTCTTCTTTGGCCTGGTTTCTTTCTTCTTCTGGTTTGAGACGCGCGTCCAAGGTTGAACTTCTTCTTCTTCCGTCCTGTCCCAAGCCTGAACAAGGTCCGAACTCTTTCTCTGCCGTCTGAGGTGATCTCTTCTCTCTGCCGTCCGGGGCTGAACTCATTTGCTTTCTTGTTTGGCCTGCAACTTTTGCTTGTCTGGCCTGCTCTTCTTCTGCCTATCTGGCCTGCAATTCTTCGGCTTGTCTGGGCTGCAATTCTTCTGCTTGTCTGGCCTGCAGCTCTTCTTCTCTTCTTAACTTTCAGAAATTTTCTTCTCTTAGCAACTTCTTCTTCTTCTCTGCCTGTTATTTCCAAACGGACCGACCCTTCTTGCCCGCAAGGGGCGAATGAACAGGGCCCGCCGTCCCGCGTTCAACTGCTCTGCCGTCTACCCAGCTGCAACTGATTTCTGTCGATTGGGGTTCTGCTTTTATTGACGCCGCAACAAACTGGGGTGGGTCTGTCGGCGCCAGGGTTTTCTTGATAATTCCAAAAGTCGCATTATTTCTGATTTCCCATTATCGCTCTTATTTTCACCCCTACTTCCTCACAGTGCCTCTGGGGGGAGGCGCATACCCATCTCCCGGTCTCTCGTATGTCAGGTGACCGTTTTCGACCAATGGGTCCTGGTCGAGCGTATATTTTCTCCTCTTTCTCGCATATCACGTGACCGCTTTCGGCTAATGAGATTCTGGTTGGGCGTCTCTCCCCTTCTGACGTCTCCAATCGGGCGTGGTCAATCCCGGCTTTGTTCTGGGAAAGAAACACCTTGTTAAAAAAAAACAAAAAATTTGGCCTTTTTCGCACGCACGAAAAATGACAATCTCGGCCTTTCTCACCTTTTGGTTTTTGTCAAAACAGCCCGCCGCTAATTAGATGTGACTTCAGGAAGAATTTTTTCGCCATCTCGCTGGCGCTTTCTGTGAGCCAAAACAATTGTTTTCACCTCTTTGTTTTTCGTTCAGGCCTGATAGTCAAAAATCTTAATTATCTGAATTGAAAATATCTTCACTTCATCATCGTGGGGGTTCTAATCTTCAACAGGTCAGAATCTGTATACAATTCCAGCGGTCACCTTCTCATCTCAAAGACACCCTTTTTTTCGATTAATATTTCGTTTTCCATTGTTCTAAAAAATCCCATTTCTCCAAATTGATAATGAACTTCTCACATTCCGTGGACACAAAAAGTAGGCCAGATGTTTTGACCGATATTTTTATCAATCGTACGTATGTTCATCCTTTTTACCATGTCTTTTTCTTTTTTTTTTCTCTAAACTTTTATTCTATTTCAAATAACAATTTCCATTGTTCTTGAAATTCGGTCAGGCGCGTTGGCCTAGATATCTCTTGACACCTGTTTTCGCTTATGACCGGCTTTTTATTTTCTCCTCTTTCTCTTTTTTTTTTTTTCTTTTTTTTTTTTTTCTTCTTCCCTTAGGATCGCCTAAATACAATTAGAGAATTATTCTCAAAACTCAATTATTCTTCGTCTAAATAACTAACAACTGGTTAATAAACCGAATAAAAATTAAATCATATTTCTATGAATATTTTTTTTAGTTTTTCTAATAATGCAGGGTGCCACAGTTCTTAATTTTATTGAAAGCATGCAGAAAATAAAAGAATACTGTTGGATTTAAACCGGATTTTTAACAACCCAGTCTATAAAATCTTTAATCCCCCCCGCCTATCATATATATGCGTTTCGTTGAAATATATATTTGGACTTATGTAATAACGTACATTCACTGGTTATCATGAGCAAAATAAGCGGACAAACACTCGCAAAAGCCACGTAAAATGATGGCATTTATTATGACATAAAAAAAAAGCCGGATAACCTTATAAAAAAATAAATTTCATTTTTTTTTAGAATAGGACAATATACTAAGTTAAAACTTAGTGTTGTGTAAGTGAAAAAAATCAATTGTCAGCCTGGACACTTTGCTGTTACCCTAATCTTTTCCTTCCATTTGTTTTTTGTCGTTCTTTTATGTGTTATATGTAATAGGATGAAGATCTACCTACCGCCCGGTCAAGGAAACTCCTCTCACTTCTCTTGGACATCACGCCTTGTTTCTTGTTTAGGATATCAGGAAACAGAAATCTCTCTCTCTCTCTCTCTGCTCTCTGGCCTCTGTACTAGTGCAGCTCTGTTTCTCCCGTGATGTGTGCAGTCTGTGGCATTGCCTCTTCATTCTGAGGGTACACAGTTGACAGTTCTCTGGTTGCTGTTTGACATTTCAAGAGCCGACTCTTTAGTTAAAAGCCCTAATCAACAGTTGTATAATACAGGGGTGTTTTTATGAGTGCCATGTCGCGCATGGAAAGATGTCGCAATGCATCACCTCCGGGGGGCAACCCTGAGGCCACATTATGATGCAGATTGTGCCAACTCCTCTCTGCCCACGTCACGGTCGATAACTGTCTGTTTCATTTTTTACTTCAGGCCTTCTCATCTTCCAACCATAATTCCACATGATGACTACAAAAAAAACCGAAAAATTAATCCTAAACCAGCCCCTCAAAAATCACCTAAACCCCTCAACATTTCGTTCTCCAACATCCGTGGCATTAGAACAAATCTGCAGTATGGAATCTTTTTCACTGCAAACTGCCCAGATATATTGACTCTCTGTGAGACAAACCCACTATCACGGCCTTGATTTGTCGATCCAGGACCATCCTCTCCCATGAAACTTGAGAGTTGTCTCTTACAGTGTCAAGGACCATCTCCCCTGGCCAGAGAGTTGTCTCTGAATCTCCAGACCTATACATGTTCTCAATCTCTCCTCAATGCGGTTTTATCTCTTCTTCCTTTACCGCTCTCCATCCTCTCAAGACTGTGGAATACTCGATAGCATTTCGGACAGCATAGACAAGGCTCTCTCCCTCCACCCGTTTGCTCACATATTTGTGTTTGGCGACTTTAACGCCCATCATACCAAGTGGCTTAAGGATGCTACTACTGATCAAGCAGGCATTCAAACACTTAATTTTTCAATTTCTCAATCCCCACTCGTTTTGCCTTCAACCGGGATGGTAAGGCCTCTCTTCTTGATCTGTGTTTTACCTCCATCCCCGAGTCTTGTAGCGCCACGCAACTCTGCCCTCTTGGTAACTCAGATCACGCTGTAGTATCTGTTAACATCTCCTTCAACTCCACCCCCTGCAAAGAACTTTGTTCTACTATCAACGAGCTGACTGGGACTCGTTCCGTGATTTCCTCCGCGATGTCCCCTGGGATGTTGCCTTTACTCTCCCCGTCCAAGAATGTGCTTCTGAGGTCTCATCCCGGGTTAAATCTGGAATCGACGCTTTCATCCCCTCAAGGAAATATAGGGTCCGCTTTCCCCTTGGTTCTCCGCTGCTTGCTCAGCCGCCATTGCCCATAGGAACCACTTCTTTCGCCTATTTCGTAGCGACATGTCGGATTGCAATAGACGCCTCTTTGCCTCCGCCGTAACGAGTGTAAGCGTGTCCTCAATGATGCTAAGTCACTATTTGCTGCTCGGATGAAGGAGCGTATTGCATCTCGCAAATTTGGCTCCAAAGATTATGGGCGTCTCTGCAAGAGCGTATTGAACAATTAGAAACCCTCTATACCTAATTGTTTCAACCAGTTTGAAGTCTGACCTCCTCTGCCGACAAGGCTGAATGCTTTGCTCGGAAATTTTCATTCAACTGAACGCTCGACTCTTCCGGTGTAAGACTTCCCTCTTAGAACTGAGGCCCTATTGAGTGGGTTACACATAACCCCGTTTTGGTATTGGGCATTATCTCCAATTTAGACCCCAACAAGGCTAGTGGTGGAGATGGGATACCAGCCATTGTCTTGAAGAAATGCGCGCCTGAACTGGCGCCCGCCCTCTCTAAACTATATAACTACTGCCTCAAGGAATCTTTTTTTTCCTGACTTTTGGAAGTCCTCTTCGATTGTTCCTGTCTTCAAGAACTCTGGCGACCCCTCTGACCCTTCTAATTACCGTCCTATCAGTCTCCTACCATTCTTCGGCAAAGTCTTCGAAGCCCTAATCAATACCGAAGTGGTTAACCACCTTACATCCCATGATCTGCTCTCAGACAAGCAATATGGTTTCCGCTTTTCCTGATCTACAGCTGATGCGCTTACGGCCATCACTGAAACTGTCTAACAAGCTCTTCAAAATAACAGGGAAGCTCGTGCCGTGGCCCTAGACATCTCCAAAGCGTTTGATAGGGTTTGGCATGCTGGCCTTCTTCGCAAGCTCCAGGGTTATGGTATTACGGGTCGATTGTTTGACCTAATACAATCATTCCTGTCAAACTGGGATTGAAGGTCGTTCTCAACGGATTCTCCTCCAGTTCCTATGCCACGAACGCAGGTGTTCCTCAAGGCTCCATCCTAGGCCCTACTCTATTCCTTATCTACATAAATGACCTTCCTGACGCCATAAATTCCCAAGTTGGCATCTACGCGGATGACACTACAATTTACTCCTGCCTCAAAAACAAATCTAGTGTCGCTGACAAAATTAACCTGGCCGTGCGTCTCGAAAAGGACCTCCAATCGGTTGTGAACTGGGGCAGGAATTGGCTGGTCAACTTTAATGCCTCAAAAACAAAACTGCTCTCTATTAATCACCACAGAGATCCTTCCCTGCCCTCCATTAGAATGTCTGACGCTCAACTTCTCGAGAGCACCTCTCTGCGGCTGCTCGGTCTCACGTTGACTGCTGACCTGAGATGGAACAAATACATTGAGTCAATTGCTTCGTCCACCACAAAGAAAGTTGGCTCCCTGTGCCGTGCCAGAATTGATCCTTCAGATCTACAAATCAACAATTCGCCCTTGCATGGAGTATTGCTGCCATATATGGTCTGGAGCCCCTTCTGTTTGCCTCGGGGTTCTTGATAAGATCCAGAGGCGGATATGCAATATAATTGGCCCTGATCTGGCATCTCGTCTACAGTCGCTCTCTCACAGACGCGCCGTCGCCTCTCTCTGTCTTTTTTTACAAATACTTTCATGGTAATTGCTCCGAGGAGCTGCATTCGCTGGTTCCCAGACTTCATGAATTCAAGCGCCCTACGAGGCTGGCATCCCGCTCTCACCCTTTCACTGTCGAAACTACTAAATGTAGCCGTCTCTTCTACTCCAATAGCTTCATGTCTCGCACCTCTCGCCTGTGGAACTCCCTTCCCTATTCTAGTTTCCCTGAGAGCTATAATCTCCAACTATTCAAATGTAATGTCAATCGACATCTCCAGTTGCCTTGATCTATCCACTATCCTTCTCCTCATCCTTTCCTCTATCACTCCTATCTGATCTTGCTCCAAATTTTCTGTAACCCCTTGCGTCCTAGTGGC